ATATATATATATATATATATATATATATATATATCGTATAGTCGACCGATCACGAAGTACCGAGATTAAATTTCGTACTTTGGGTGAACGATTACAATTTATTTCTTCCTACGCTACTGTCGTTGCACGAAGGCAGATCGCGAAAGCGTGCGCACGTTGGTGCTACTTTACGAGCTTCTTCTCTCTACAGCGACCGCGCTGCTTCACAAAGACGGTATCCGTCTTCCCGGTAACTCCGCTCCTTAACTACTACCGAGACACGTCTCATCGAACGCCCGAGAGCCGACTGACGAAACTCGAAGACTTGGCTGTTGGCTACGGCCTACGGGGCGACGGGGCTGCTGGCGTTGGCTCACCGGATCGAGTCGAAGCGGCGACCAGAGCTCAAGCAGGACCGGACGGACGGCAACGGCGGCGGCGGCGGCGGCGGCGGCAGCGGTGGCAGCGGCGGCGGCGGCGGCGGCAGAAGCGGTGTCGGTGGCGGCAGCGGCAGCGGCAGCAGCGGCGGCGGCGGCCGCGACGGTGGCAGCGACGACCAAGAGCGAACCCGCAATCAAGAAAGACGAGAAAAACAGAGTGTAAGAGAGAGAGAGAGAGAGAGAGAGAGAGAGAGAGACACGGCGCGTGCTCCTTCTTGGTCGCACTTGAGAGATCGAGGCGTACAGGACGCCTCCTGGAGCCTACCTCGCGAAAGGCGGCGTCGACCGCCCAACCAATCCCAAGTGCTCCCCACTCCGCCCCCGCTTTCCAGTCTCTTCTCTTCTCTCCCCTATCCCCCGCCGCACCGCAAGCCAACACCACCACCGCCACCACTACCACTACCTCAACCAGTGCCAGCACCACCGCCACCCGTCCCCCCTCCTACCCGCTGCCAACAGTTACTCTCACACCGTCTCTCTCTTTCATTCCATATCTGTATACAAGTTCTTTCATTCCTAACCTCACTCCATGACTTGTTCCGTCCACTTAGTTGTCCTGGGCTCTCCTGCCTCTTCTCGTCGACGTTGTCCCGATCCTCCTCCTCGTCGTCGGCGTCGTGGTCGTTGCTTTGTTTTGCTCGTTATTCGCTTTGCCTCCTTATTTCCACGAGCGCGCAACCAGAAAGTAAGTGATGTTCTTTATTTCGCCTTGACTCGAGTTCTGGTGTTTTCATTTTTTTTTTCTTTGCACTCGTACTCTGCTCACTCCTTCATATCTTTCTCTTGTTCTTACCTCGGGCCCCTGCTTCAGTCCGCCCCCCCCCCAACCGCCCCTCCCGCCCCTCTTCACCCTCCTCTGCCCCGTCTCTCTGTCTCTCTCCTTTCCACCAACCTCAAGCCTCTCGATGCTCTCTTTTTATACCCAGTTTTTTCATATCGAATCCACACCCCCACCGCTCTCTCTCTCCTTCTCTCTCTATCTCTATCTCTCTCCCCTACTCCTTTACTGGAGAAGGAGGGAGGGAGGGAGGGGGGGGTCATTTTATTTCTCTTCCTTTTAGTCGGTCCAGCTCTACGACACAACTCGTTATTTTAAACCTTTTTTCTCTTCCGCCCCATCATGGAGAGAAATAAAGAAAGATACACGCATATACATGATATATATATATACTATTGGTAGGCAATCAATCGATAAACCGATTTTATTAGTTGATCTATGTTTAGGTTAATCAGGAACGTTTACAGCACTAGTTTCTCTCTGACCCTCTCATTTGTCAAGTTGTTACCATATAGTCAGCCGGACCACCTTCCCTCCCTCGTCCCGTCCCGACTCATTAGGCTTGTGCCAAACGCAGTGCTTGAGAAATTCAAAGCGCCTTTCCATACTCGTAAGCAGCAGCAGCAGCAGCAGCAGCAGCAACATTTTCTCTTTCATCCGTCTTTCGCGATCCCGTGCGTACCGCCATCTCCTTTCGTATCCCCCGGCGTTTGACTCGTAACCGGGAAGACGAAGAGGAAGTATGGCAACAGTGCACGGTAAGCACGGCGAACAACACTCCAAACGATCCGATCGGTAAAAACATTGCTGTGTAGCGAAACCGGGTCCTTTTCTTCTCTCCTCTTTGGTTCTCTGCGTTCTTCACTCATCTCGACTGTATTCCCCTCTCGAAGCTTCCTCTCGCTCAACTGTGTCTTAGGTTTCTTCTTTTTTAAAACAGCAATAACGACGATACAGACGCCCGCGTAATAATTAGAATTAGAGTCGTACGCCTTGCCTTGCCTTGCCTTGCCTTGTCTTGCCTTGCCTTGCCTCTCTTGCATGAATGACGACATTCACGATAGCCAACACTCATAACTCTCGTAACTCCGTTCGCAAAATAAAATCTAGCAAGCGTGACAGTCGCCTCCCCGTCTCTCTCTCTCTCTCTCTCTCTCTCTCTCTCTCTCTCTCTGTATATATATATATATATATATATATATATATATATATGTATGTATCTTTATCTCCATCTATCTCTGTGCATGTGTACTGAGCGTGCACACATTACACAGAAACTTTTCATTTCATTGATTGCGATACCTGTGCTCAACAACCTACCATCTCTCAATCACTACTTGAATTTTTCTTGTTCTTTTTTTTATTTTCATTACTCCTGTTGACTATCTCTCCCCCCCCCCCTCTCGACGACTACCTACTATCATTTCTATCTTTTATGTATTTAATCCGTTTTTCTTATTTCTTAGCAATTTGCAATCGTTCACTTTTATTGTTTTTTCAAACACTTATTATACTTCCCTTTTATATTATGCCATTTTATTTCATTATCAATATCTCTGTCATCAATTTTTTTTCTCGTGTATGTGAGCACTGTTCCTTATGTATGTAGAGATGTCATAAAACATTGGTATTATTGGTGTACGCATGAGTAAAAAAAATGTGTTATGTAAAAAAAATTGATTTAAAATCTGCCCTAATATTCATTAAGAAATCAATAGAAATATATCAGTATTAGAACATTATATATAGTGCAATATTATAAACAAATTTATTAAAATGATTAATGTCAAAACAATCTATCTTCTATATATTTATAACGATAAATTGAAAAGTTATTTGTATAATATGAAAGTATAAGCTCTTTTAAGTGAATATACAATTGTATTTATACTTTTAAAATATGTAAGTTGATGACGAATTTTTATTTCTCCTTTGTAAGAAAAATAACACATTAATAAATTAATTGTATCGATCTGTATCACGAACAATGTAACAAGTCAAAATATAACTTTAATACTATTGCATAAATTAAATTATAAACGTTATTGTACAGAATGACGCTACTGAAAGCTGTTCAAGTGCATGATAATGTACGTTTATTGTACTTAAAATAATGTGGAAGGGGAAAGCACTTAACGCGAAATATATAAATAAATGCATAACATAAGTATCCTATGAATTTGGATAATTGTGGATTTAAAATTGAATGTATTAAATTTTCGTAGAACTTGTAAATCGCAACACCAATGTCTATAGTAACGAATGAAAAGAACAACCCGCGATCGCATTTCCTCATTTTTCCAATGCAATAAGTACATAAAAACAAATGTGTAACTTATGTAATTAATACTTAAGATTTAAAATTAAAATTTTGCTAAAATTAATGAGTTTCTGAAAGGCTGCTCATTTAACGGTTCAAAACTGTACTCCAATGCTTTTGGTGAAAGGCCCTGCACGTTAAGAATAATATTGAAACCCATGCAATGGCAGAAAAGGCTGCGCATTCGTAAGGTGGCCACGCACGCACACGCGCGCGCACACAGAGAGGCACTCTGCTCTCGCGTATGCACGACCGAGCTAACTCGTACTGTTAATATTGTTTTCAAAGATATTGAAAGCAGCTTAAAGTCACAGAATCCTTTATTTAGTCTTGGCGCTCATTTGTGTATCCGCTCACTTCCCCCGAGACTCCGGAAATAAAAAGCAATTTCGACTAATACGGAAAGATGATCTCTTCAACGATGCTTACCTAATCGCTCTATTCATGCTTTCGCATAGTTTGATTAATGATTCGTGAAACCAGATCCTAATACTTTCTTTTAGATATGAAGTATCGCCACTTTGGCCGTTCTAATATATTCTAGTTCAATCTATTGGCTCAATAAATTGGCGAAATATTTCTCATATATTTTAAGACCCATAAAAATGTAATTTAATTTGCAGAATCAATCGGCTATGCTAGGAAGAATATCGGTAAGCTAAGAACTGAATTAAGCCCCAGTCTCCTTTGTGCCCGATCGAAATTGTTTTGCTTTTAATCTCCTAGCCACCAATGAATCAGTAATAATGAATAATCTTGATTGAAAATTAAAATAACCCAAAGACAAAGAATTTACAATTAGTGTACTATAAGAAGAGATAACGTGAAATAAGTACGGATATAGAATTTTCAGCGAATTTAGTCAAATGGCAAGGGATTATAATAATTTATGACAAATGATAAATTATAAACGATAAATGACAAATGATAAATTAATAAATAACAAAGATAATAAATAATAAATTAATAATTGAAAAAACAACAAAAAACAAAACAAAAAAACATAAAACTAATTAGGTGAATGGTCACACTGTGCGTATCTAATGGATGGGTTTCGAACATTAATAAAAACAAAAAAACAAAAAACAAAAAACACACACGCACACGCACACACATAACTAATGCAAAATTACATTTCAAAATTAGGAACAGACAAAATCACACAATTCCATCGAACGTCGATCATATTTGCTTACGACTGGCCGTGCATTTGTACAAAAATATTAATTGCTATTTTAATTAGTGTATAGCGTAGACGGATTAACTTCATCCAAACAGCGATTTTCTTGGGATGAGGTGTCATCATATAATTCCGAAAGAGTAACAAATACAAATCAACGTGTCAATAAGA